GCCCGCGATCCGCGTTGGTTGAGTTCATCCCACGCCTAACACCTTCCGTTCCATTTACCGGCCTCGGCGGCGGCGGATAGGGCGAACGAATAATAATTACATCATGCGCTCGTGAGTGCCCCCCGCGGGACGTTCGCGAAATTATCGATCGCTGCCAATGTGCTCGGCGGCGATAATTAATACCACGCGATTCACTCGACATACAGGACGGATCGGGCGATTCTTCGTTCTCTCGACGAACAGGTGGGCGACGTGGGAACGCATGCAGAACCGCGCCAACGGTGTGCGGCGACGGGCGATGAGATTATTGATTGTTTCTGTAACGCGAAACGTAAACATCGCGAATGAGGAATTGCGGTATCGATACTTCAATGATGCTAGGAGAACAGGTCGCGTTTGCAGTCTCACTGCGTAGATAGCGTTTATAATAGACGCATCGACGAGCGATCAATTGAAGAAGATTTAAATGACTCGACGCAATTGCCTTGGTAAATAAAAAGCATTTCTGTATTAATCGAAACAAGAATTTTCGCATACTGTTAGTTTAATGTGCGACGAGTGTTTTGTATATACACAAGAAGTAAGTTACTTACTAATCCAATTCTGTCCGTTTAATGGCGCAAATTCATCATAACACGCATTACGCAGATGAGATCTCCTCATTTTCAACACCCTATTTAAGCTTTTACGCTCGAGACGAGTTTATGTCACTCTGGGTAATTCAGTTAAGAGCTTCTGAAAGCGCGTTTAAATATTTAAACAGCTGTTTAGCCGTCGCTTGAAGAAATGTCTCATAAATCATGCAATAAAACAACACTTCTTTAAAATGGTGACACTTGCTGAAGAACGAGCAATGGTAACCGGAACCAGATAATTTCCCCGATCGTGAAAAAGCGAATAAGTCGGCGTGAGTTCCTCGGTTGCAATCATCGTTTAACGATAGACGATCGACTCTTAGCGGCGATGAATTAATTATTATAATTACATATATGCCATTATCCCATTATCCTGTTGACAACCGATGCAATCGTGAAGGCTCGAATTCCGTTGCGCGTAGGATAAGATGAATTTTCCTCTTTAATACCTCCGCGAGGTATTTATAATTATCTTACATGCACAACATTCTCTCTAGAATTACTATCAACGCATCATCCTTGTCATCGTCTAACATATTGTAGAAGAAGACGAATCGGCGACGCAAACCGTTACGCGGTGATAATTATCGTTTAATCGTTCCGATGATTCAGACGGGTACATTTCCATTTCTTCTTAATTTATTCTTTTGCCTTAATGCGAAAATAATGAGATTATATTATGATCGTCGTTAAATGAGTTTCGTGGGTACGCCGTACTATCATATATACCTATAATATGCAGAATACCTGTGTGAATACTATTATTTTCTCGATTACTGCTTGATCCAAGTATTGCCAAAGTATCGTGACTCGTATTATTTAATCTCTTGTGCTCTCCGATGTGATGCGAGTAATTTCCCCGCGACTCCACAATCTAGTATGCTGAAAGCATTTCACTTTTTCAAACGACTGCTTAATCATCCGAGATGAAACGGTGACTGTCTGTCTCGTAACTCGTAACTTAAGTAATATGCGCTTAAAGTTTTCAACGATAACGTCTCGGAAAACCACGGTCAGCCGATTCCCGCGACCCTGGGAAAATCGCAAAGGGGAGAGCGATCAAACCGCACTGATAACGGCTATTCAACTATACTGGCAGTAATTATTATTGTTACAACGTGATGAAAGTACCGATAATTTCTACTGTCTTGAAAATAGTAGAGCGATATATAGTCCGCATTTGTACCAAGGTCTAAGTATAAAAGATTCAGCGACATTACGTGTACTGCTTACAAACTCTTGTTCAGTCTCTCGTTGCTCAGTATGCATGAAGCGTCTCGCTTAACTCTTAACTCCTTAATCTTTTCGAGATAGAAACATCTCGAGATTAAAGCACGATCAGATAAATAGCGCGGTCAAAGATTGCGGTGAGAAAATTAGATTATTATACATTAGTTCCATGTTTTATATCTCGGCCATGACACTTCAAATTCACAAAAAATGTGTAATAAGTGTCTTTATACATCTCGTATATGTGTATGATTTAATTTTTCGTATAAAAATAATACTATACTAGACTATACATAAAAAACGGATTTGCACATTTAAGCATGTAGTATTATTTTTTACACAAAAATTAAATTACACACACACACACACACACACACACACACATATATAAAAGTACTTATTACATACTTAGATTTACAATGAAGTATAAAACAGTCCCACAAATTGACATAACAATTTTAATATTTTGTTAATTCTTTTTTGTTTTTTTTATTACCGCCTTTTCCAAAAAAATGCAATAAATTGAGGTTGCTGTATACTTATAGTGAGGCGGCAATACAAATCACAGATCTTCGCTGAAACAGTCAGTGTGATTAGAAGCATAGGGAAGAAAAATTGCTTATGGGGAATATATGAATGCAAGGTTAATTATCAAATTAATTATCAAATGCAATAATTACATAATTCGAGAAGGAATTTCACATTTTGTAATCTCTATAAAGCCTTAAGCGTAAGCCGTGAATGAACCAGATTGATAGTGAAAGGAGCAATGAAAAATGAAAAACTGTATGAACTATCATGTATACTTAATATCGACCTAATTATATTCAGGAGACAAGAAGATGAAGATTGATATAAGCGGTTG